AGGCATGACTTTGGGAACTCCCCTCCCGTTTTGTTTCATATAAATGGTACGCAACCGCTTCAGCATACCAACTTGCACAAGGTCCTAGGCTTCTGGCCAAATAGTAACCTCTCTTTTTCACATCACCAGTGAGCCAGTAAATCTGCCTTCCGTGTTCTTCACTTTGTCAGTATCTGTCGTTTGATTGGCATGACACTTAACGCTTGTTGTCAAGCGCTTAATTAATCTGATCAGGCAAAACAAATCAACACATGAAGTTGCCGTGTACTTTTTAATATTTGTGCAATAATGGTCTCGATTAATAGCCCGGTCACACTTCTTGAGAAGCAGGGTAGTCAACATACGGAACAGACTACCTGTGGAGGTAGTAGAACTGCAGACGGTGCTAGCATTTAAGACGGCCCTGGACGAACGGTGGTGTGAACTTAATCCTGAAGTGGAGGTCTGATAGGCTAGCGACTTAAAAAACACGAGAGGATTAGAAGCGGGTCACTCAGATTGCATGTTTTTGTTTTCGCTCTGCTATGTATGTAGTCTGGATGTAGTCTGGAAGAGAAACGCTCGCGTGTAACTATCTCCCGCTTTGGAGGTGAGATGAGGCATCTTTCCCTTCCTCTTTTCAGCCAGGAAGTACGGACTACTTTTCGCAGTGGTGGGTGCCATTCTTGACCGCATACCACCGAGGGAATTCTGGACACCCGGAATTTTCATCATGAATTGGAACTGACTGACATGGATCGTCAAAGCAAATTTGGTCCACATGTCTTCTGTGTATAGACAAATCATCCTTGTCAAGTAGTTGGAGCATTCCTCGACCTAAAGACTTTAGAAGAGTTCCTGAGGAGGGTTCTAGATCATTGCCACGGAAAATACAACTTCAGAAGAATTAATACACAATAAATTGGACCTCAGATTTCGACATTTTGAAAGTTTAACAGGTGTCTCTTTGGTGGAGGAATGAACAAAATTACGATATTGTAAAAGAAACAAATTGACATATCTTTCAAGTTCAGAAAATGTGGATGAGTTCAAATCAGTAACAGCACTTTTAAGTGTTCTAACAAAATTTTCTGCTTGTCCATTAGAGCAAGAATGTCTAGGAGCAGTAAACAAATGTTTGCAGCCAATGTTATGCAGCCATTCTGAAACACTTTTCGCAGAGAAGTGACTGCCATTATCAGTAAAAAGTACAGCAGGAATACCTTCCCGACTGAACAATTTACGCAAAGCATGAATACTAAAATCTGATGAAGGTGACTTAGTGAAAAATACCTCTGGCCACTTGAAGGAAGGAATGATTGATAACAAGGGCATATATTCCTTTGAGAAATGGACCACAATAATCCGCATGAACAAGTTGCCACGCCTCAGTTGAAACAAGCCACGGAACCCACTTGGATGACAACTGTCGAACTTTGTGGTGGCATATAGGGCAGATCTTTGCTTTGGAACATATGTCAGCATCTATGTTCGGCCACCAACAAGTTAATCGAGCCAGTGATATCATCTTTTGTATCCCAAGATGGCCGGAATGTAGGTCATCAAGTACAGCTTTACACAACGTCGGCGAAATCACAACCCTGTCATTCAAGCACAGTAATCCATCAGGCGTAATTGAAAGTTCATCAGGCCTAGTATAGTGATGTGGAAATTGCTTCCGGGTCTGGGCGCTCCAACCCTTCTTCAAAGCAGTGATCGCAGCAGAGAAATAACGACGTGTGTCACGAATAAATTCTTGGCGGCTCACAGGGAGAGGTTGTACTAGTAGTGAATCAGAAATGTCAGCTGGCTCAGAAGCGGGTAGCAATTGACGCGAAATGTAATCCACGTGTCAGATGTATTTGGCACTACGATGTTCAATTGTGTAATCATATGAACTGAGTGAGGTACTCCAACGGCGAACCATAGCTGCAGAGCTTCCGGACAGGGATTTCCCAGGATCAAAAATGAATTTCAAGGCCTCATGATCGGTAACGATGGTAATATAATGTTCGGAAAGGAACTTGTGGAGGCGCTTGACTGCTCAGTATACATCTAAGGCTTCGCAATGAGTTTGAGCATAGCTTCGTTCAGCTGCTGTTAACCGGCGAGACAAATAATTGGATGTCCATTCTGCTCAAGAATCGCACCAATTCCATCGGATGAGGAATCAGTAATACCGTTGGAATGAACTTTGGGATTGAATGGGTGAAGTACAGCATCAGTCTGCAGAAAATTTAGCAATTCATGTAAGCAACGTTCATGAACATCAGTCCAAACAAATTTGTCAGGAGAGGGAAGAAATAAGGGTGAAGCATTCTGACTGAAATTAGGGATAAATCGAGAGTAATACTGTCGGGCCTTAATCAATTATCTGAGTTCGTATATATTCGATGGTGATTTGACTTGTGTTAGAGGAAATAGACGCTTCCGGTCAGGTTTGCAGCCTTTATCATCAACTAATTGTCCAAGACATTCAAAATAAGAGACAGAAAATAAACACTTCTTAGGATTAACAGCAACATTCGTATCAGAAAACCTACGAAAGAGTTCAAGCAATTGTCAGGAGCTTGAAAAATAGTGTCATCTTGATATACTTAAACATCAGAGATACCACTAGTAATGCCATTCATAACTTGTTGGAACATGGCAGGAGAAATGGATAAACCAAAGGGCAAAAGCTTGTATCTGTATAAATCAAAACGAGTATTAATAGTTGTCAAGGTGGAGGAGGTTTCGTCTAACGGAATTTGTAAATAAGCATCTTTCAAGTCAATCTTGAACAAGACCTCAGAACCAGTCAACTTATTCTGAATGTCCTCTGTACATGTCTGCTTCAACAGTCTTGGATTTAGTGTGATTCGGTAGTCACCACATATTCTGGGGGTCTTGCCATCAGACTTGAGTGGTGTGACGGTTGGTGTGCCCCATGCCGAAGACGCCACCTTCTCTATAACACCTTTGGAACACAATGCATTCATGACAGGTTCACGAAGACCATATGGAATGACTCGGCGTCTGAGAAATACTGTATTGCCATTAACTGGAAGAATTTTCATGCCATGACATTTGAGCATTTAATAATCAAATCCTTCAATTAACTTTCAGTATCGATAGAGATTACCAAGGAAAGATTGACATTTAATGCTTGCATAGCTTTCAAGCCTAGTATGGATGGGCCAGAATTGATTACAATGAATGTACAGGTAACACTTTAGAATGTTCATCACTGATTGAACTCTCGCAAGAACTAACAACAGGCAATAAGTGTCCAATGATGCCATTTATGGTGACAGTGGACGGCTGGAGTTTAGCATCTGGAGCAAATAGTTTTAGATCGTGAACAGAAAATAGAGATTCCACACTACCAGTGTCCAAAATGAGATGAAGCGAGTTACCAGTGGAACTGAATAGTCATTTACGGATTTGAACGAAATGGAAGGTAATTGCCAAAGATTAAGAAGAAAAGGCTCGGCGAACTGGCGAACTGGAAAAATGTTTGTCCATATTACTCACTTCTGAGTCCCGGGCTTGAATTAAACGGCAGGTTCTTGTACTGCGCCAGACTGAATATGGTCAGTTTTGCTACAATAATGACATAAAGCGTAACGAAATCGACATGTGAATCTGGAACAACGTTTGCTACAGGATGCACAATTGCCATAGGATTTATCCAAATATGTCACATTGTGTGAGTTAGATTGTGTGACTGGTTTGAAACGTCCGGCTGTAGCATGAACTTTCGTGGATTTAATCTTGAGTGAATTGAACATGGCTGTAGATTCAATGGTGGACCGCAGGGAGGAAGTAGCGACACGAATGTCTTGATATTGTTCACAATTAGCCCGCACATCTTTGAACGTCGGATTGGATAGCTTCAAAAGTTCATTTTGCAAAACGGCATTGTTATTGCCATCGATCAGCCAATCTTTCAGTTGCATGTCCAGTAAACCTCCAAAATTACACTTTGCAGCTTGAGTGAGCAAATTCAGGATGAATTCACGGATGCCCTGATTCGGATTGCGTACCACCGAACGAAAGCTTGCTCGCTCTGAGGCTTCAAAGTTTGTTGGCTTCACATGCTGTAGGAAGAGGGATTTTAAATCACCGTAAAGTGCAGAAACAGGTCATCATCATCGTTTAGCGAGATACAGTGAAGCGAGCTTCACTGATCGCTGATAAGCACACAATGTACACAAATCAAATGATAAAGCAAAGGATGGAGAGGGATTAGACCTACTTGGAGGGAGACAAAGAAAAAGAATCTCTATGTTCAACACACAGAGTACACAATCTAAGTGTTCATGCATACTTTTTCAAGCATTGTGCCTTGTTAAGAAATGACAACAAGAGCGCCAATGCTGTCGGTCAGTCGCCATATCCTTTGATGTCTCCATCCAACCAGTTTTAGAGCCTTTCGGACCCCAACCTGGAAGACGGGAGACACCGATTCTACCTAATCGCTCTGTGC